GCGGTCCGCCATTTGTCTGCCGCATTTTGCAATTAGTTTTTCATTAAATTATGACCACTGGTGCATGTAAGACCTGGAGATGCTTTCCATAAAAAAAGGCTGAAGTTATTAAAAGGCAGTGTAATTATGTTTATGATCAAACCGGAATGAGAAGGCAGGGGGAGAAAAACAAAATACTGTCCAAGATCAGCAGGGGTGGTTTAGGAACACCCTCCCCCTGTGCATACTGATCACGGACAGCAGACAGTTCAGTCGATAGGCTTGTGTCTGTCACAGAATCTGACCTTGGACCTCTCGCATGAATGACTACCATTAAAAAGAAAACTTGACGTTGTCATAGTGAAGATTCGTTACAAATCTGTCACAGCCGTGATGCAGCCAAGTGCATCATAATGTCGGCGAGATTTTCCAGAGCATGACAGCATTTTTTTTCCTTGTCAGAAAGGTCTGTTTTTATGATTGTGTCCGTCCCTGCGGGGAGTCAGAAAGACGTACGCATCGTGCATCAAAATTCAAGATTCCACAGCGTATATGTTAAACAGATGTGATCCAACAAAAAACACTTTGAAAAAAAAATCCCAAAAGTAAAAATGAATTTGTGGTGTAGTGCTGACAAAGAGAGATTGATCACCTTTTTAAAAATGTGGCAACAGTTAAAACATTCTGCTCAGAAGACAGAGTGAGAGTTTCCATATTGGGGATGACAGATGAGTGTAATAGCCATGTGGCCGAAATAGATGCATGTGTACAGTGTTGAAGGAAAGTTTGTGTTGGATGTCGGCTGAGAGATCTAGCCTGGTTCTGCTATTAAGTTTTGTTTCAGAATAAGGCAGTTTTGATACCCCTTTTTCAAGACAAAGAGTCGGAAGATTCTGGACTAATGGAAATATAGCAGCAGGAATAATTCTAATCAAAGGAAGCACTTGTAGGGGAATAGCAAGGAATGGGGCCCAGAATTAGAGCTGGCCTCCCCTCTTTTGGGTTTTGGAGTTTGCCTGATTGTGGTTGTGAATTAGTCAACTACAAATACAATAGCTCATGTGTCATGGTTTGGTGTCATAGCAAATTCTTTCATCCATATAAAAATTGCTTGGTTCTCCTGCAACGTGTGGGTGAATTTTTTTTCAATTGGAAGTCAAGTTTGTCGCTTATAAGTTATAGTTGAATATTGAACATGAGCAAATCAATAGTTTTTCCCTTGAGTGTTAATTGAATGTGAATTTTCACTGACATGTATGCCATAGGAAACCAAGGTCTGTGTAAAATGTAGGAAATAAATGTATAATGTATGTCTGAAGTTTGATGAATTTTTGTCTCTTTTGGATTGTCGGTACCAGTGAAGAGAACTTAAAAGTGTTGACAAATGATAATTACAGGCATTTTGACAGAATCCTCACTTCCATTGCAGAGCATTTATATATGTTTGGCCTTCAGTGTCACTGTTATTCAGTTTAGAATAAGCACTTAGATATTTCAGTGATAGCTGAGCAGAGGTTGCTCTGTGAAAAAAGTGTGAAATCAGATTTGGTGCTTGTGGGCAAACCTTGTCCAAAATGCACATTTGTTTAAAGGTAATCTCAGGTCATTCCGACCAGGGAAAAGATGGTATCTTTGCATTGCTCATGTCAAAACAGAATGTATTTGCTAATGAAAAACGAGTTGTTTCTGCTGGCAACAAATACATGTAGGGATGCCTGTTTTTGGGGGAAAAATTGGATTTGAAATTAGATGTTTTCTTTTGGTTCATTAGTTCTAACTTTTATTTGTAGCAATGTAAATGTATATGCATGTACAAAGGCATCTTGATGAGCTGCATTGCACATAGTATGTAGCATATTACGGTTTGAGGATTAGTTTTGAGGTGGTCTGAATTACTAAAAAAAAAAAAGTCAACAAAAGTGCAGGTTCCAAAAAAGCTGAACTTCATTTTTTCCTGCAATTCCTTTAAAGAAAATCTTCACAGCTGGTGGCTAGCAGAGGCGATTTTGGCAGGGCGTTGTTAGTGCCCAGAAGAACGTGACACATCTGATATGTTGACCATTTTTTTTGCCCTTTTTTCCCCCTCCACACTATCACTCCCCTTTTATCTGGTATGCAGTTCATTAGCACCTGTAGCGCAGTGGCAGCGGAGGGGGACTTGGCCCTTCGGACTGTTTGCCAGCTCTTGTTGTCCCTAGCTGCCACTGGTTCAGTCCCCTGCTTTCTTGCCCGAGCTTCTCGGCCTACCAGCCAATTGACAGGACATGCAATAACGCAACAGGCCCCGGGCACTGCAAGAAATAGTTTTGCCTTGGCTTTTTCCCATGGACAGCAGCACAACACTTGTTCCTGTCACTCCGTTGGCTGTTCCCTCTGGTTACTAATTAATATTGAATTCCAATGAACAGCCCAATGTACTTTTTTTTCCTCCCTCGTCTCTTCCTTCACACCCTCCTTGCTGATCATGCGTTCTGAGCGTGCTCACTACAGGTGTAAGGGCTGACTGTTGCGCCTCCAAAGTTATGCTGTTTGTCCAACTCCACTCGACCATGGAGAAACAAAGTACTTGTAATTGGCAATGAATTTCTGTTCTTTGCTTTGATTTGTTCAACACCCATGTTTAGGTAGACTTAAGTGATAATTCTGTACCTGTTCTGTGAATGTTATTGTCTACCATCTGATATGCACACAGAACCCACTTTCCATGCGATCTTTCAGAAGAATAAAAGAAAATGAACATATTTAATGTGTTCACATACCTCCTTTCATTTCCAGGCATATTTTAACTAAAACTACCTATTTTAAATTTTGTTTAAATATGGGCCACTTTTTAAATGTACACACTACAGCTCAGGTGGATTTGTTCTAAGGTGAACAAAATCAAGAGCAAATACTGTTGTCAACAGGACAAGTGATCTTCTACATGTATTTGACTTTCATTTACATGGATAATGTTTCATGCATTTGGCATCTCCAGAGAAAGAAGCCAAGGAAATGGTGCTCACCCACTCGGACTTTAAATGATGTGTGCTGGCCTTGAAACAATTCTCCAACTTCCCTCCTTCCAGACAATCCTTTGTTGCACATTTTCAGAAAGTAACAAAATTTATGCAGAAGAGTTTTTTTTCTCCCCTTCCTCCTCCTTCTTTCAACGGAAGACAAAAAAGTCAGATTGTCCCACCCCCCCCGTCTGCCTTGGGAGCCAGCCAGGCGGCAAAAACCCTCTTGTGAATAATGCTCATGCAACCAGAGATGAAATTTGGATTACAAAGACAATTGGGCGGCATTAGCAAGTTGACCCCCCCCCTTGATCCCTGCCAAAAAGCATTACTGCACAACCGACTGGTTTCTCCCCCCCTCCCCCAATCCCCCAAAACAAAAACAGGTAGGAACACTAAAGAAATACCTGGCCGGCTTAAAAAAAGCTTGAGCTACATATCAAACTGAAAAGGCAACCTTAAACAATAGATAAGCCAGCTTACGGTTTGGGACAGTGGGTTAGGGCTTAAACAAAGGGCACTGATCTATTCAGTGGCTATCAGGGGTACCTGTAGAGAGAGACCATTAAACAAAATTGGGACAGGTAACAATAGAGGGGATAGCTGAGAAACTATGATGATTATGTAACTGTATTGGGATTTTTTGATTTGCATGTGAAGAGTGTGTACAATTCAAATAGGAGTCCTTGTACACTCGCCTCCTTTTTCTAACCTGTGTGTTGATTGGGGCTTAAGGAAAATCAGGTGTGTAATGGTGATGAAACGCAACTAGTTGGGGTTTGGAACTGTGCCCAGTGTATGTGGAATTCTCTGTGGTTAAACTGTGGACATCATCAGGTATCAACAGTCAGTTTGTGATTGCCATCTAAAGCACTGGTCAGTGGTGTTGTAAATTGTTTTGGTCTGGTGTAAGAATTGCTTTTGGCTCCAGTTGTGTCTTGTGAAACCTACAGAGAATTTTGTGCCGCAGTTCTGTACTGTAACAGTGTAACTGTAAGTTAAGTATCCTGTCCATCCTACCCTGTCCAGCTCATTTCAGGTTGATTATAATCAGACTGATTGCCCGCAATGTTTCCTGCAGTAAATTTCATGCCGTCACTCAGTTCTCACCTGCATGTACATGTACAATGTAATTCGGTTCTACATAGCTAGCCTGGTACCAGTGAATGATGGCATGAATCATTGGTACAATGAGCCCCTTCATCACTTTCTATTCTCTTTAAAAATTCACCTTTTGCCTGGGTTGGCAGAATCAAGTTAGGTTTTTGTGGATGAATAATAAGCAATGCTGCCTTGAAGTATCACCTGCTGGCTGCTTGAAGTCTCGTCATGAATGTGTTATACGTGACTTAACGTTAAGTTGCACGATCTGCACATTGGTTTTGCACTCAGTGGAGATGAAGCATTGATAACATCACCCTTTGTTCTGACCTGCCAAATCAGATTACATGTGTATGGGAAAAAAATGGCTAAATGTTGTCCCCAAATGTCAAGATGAAGGAAGATTGGGACAGATCAGAACTGCAGATGGTGTACTTTTGAAGGACAGTGGGGTTCATCCATGGTTTAGGAGGAGAAAAAAGGTGGGTGGGACTGCCTGAGCGTATGTGCTTGCCTTCTGCTCGTGAGGATGACATGAGCAAGCATCGCAAGGTCAAGTCGCAATAACAAGTGGGAACCACTTGGAGTGTGGTTAAGGTGGCTAATTGATCAAGCTTAATTGGTTGAGCTGGTGTTTGTCTCTCAACAGAGGAAGGGCACACCCCCCAAGTACATGCAGAGCATAAATTGGAAAATACGTGTATATGTTGTCAATAGGTTAGTGGCAGTTGGCCAATTCAGAATTCAGCTTTTCGTTTCAAGTTCCATATAAACATTGTATTTCCAGGCAACATAACATTTCCTTAGTCTATTGTGCAGGTTTCCTCTGGAATTATTGAAAGACTTATCTCATGGGGCCGGTAGTGTATGACTCAATAAGATTGGATTGTCAGAATTGTCACTTTGTTTTCTTGATTACAGTAAGTCTTCTACTGTCTACAATTGACTCGGCATTGGAGAGCAGTAAAATAAAAGGTAAGCTTTCCCTCGATCTTCTTTTGGTTGGTGAATGATTTAAATAAAAGAAACCTTTGCTTCACACTTTCCTGTGATGTAGGTTGTTGTTTGATTGATTGCTGAAAGGCTTGTCCATGTCTGAATTGATTTTGGGTTGATGCCACCGGTTTGCTTAGATTTTTGCCATTTTTCTGTTGTATTGAAGTGTACGACCTACATAAGAGCCATTGCCAATCATTCACTCTGCAGATGTCTTAATTACAAATGAAGAGTTTACTTCCAAAATGCAATAAGCGCCATTTTGGTATGTTTCATAATCCTACCCTCTCTCTGTTGTCTGCAGTGAGTTTCTACAGATTTAAAACAGCTAAAGGCAACTTTACCAAGTTAAAATCATGAAAAAGAAGTTTAGAGACACATGACATGCTGCTAAAGCTTTTCAATTTTCATAATTTTTTTTAAATGGATATGTCTCTTTTTGGAAATAAACCCTTCAAATGTCCGAATTTCTGATTGTATAGGGAAGTGACTGGTTTCATATTACTTTGCCTAAGTGCTTAAATACATTTCTGTTGGTTGGCAAACTGTCAGACTGGCAGCTTGTCTAACATTAAGTTGAGCTCTTCTCAACCATATGTATGTTGTGTGCACAATGGATGATCTTCAAGTTGATTGCATTACCGGTATCACGCCCCCGACCCAGTCTATTTCCCTTTGTTGGTGATTGCCAACCATCCTGTGTTTATTCCTTTTTCTTTTTTGTAATTGTATTGTTGCAGGTACATGTACATTATGTGGAGCTTACACAGAACTCCACCATTTATCTGTTTGCCAAAGGGGAAAAAATGATTGGCATCACCCGGTGTTTGTCCACTGGAGGGGGGGGGAGGCTGAGACTATGGTGATCCAACATGCACATCATGAACATTAGGAGTCACAGATCAAAGAGACAGCAGGAGACCTGCTGCTATTATATGGCTGATATTCTCTGGATCATTCAGAGTAGAAAATTGCACCCTCCGCTGCTGATGGTGGCTTTCTTAACAGTGTAGTGTTGTCAGTGGAGTAATCTTCAAAAAAAAAAAAAGAAAGAGAAATGAAAATTACTGATATGTAAAAGATCTGCTCCAAAGCTGTCGTTTTTAGGCCCTTCTCTAAAATTTTGACTGCGGAAGGCTCACAGCCCACGTTATGCTTGCACATGGCGTCAACATGTTTTGACCCAGATTGTTGACGGACATATTTTAAAACATGTCCGCACACAGTTGCTGGTAATGGTATGTGGAGGGAGGAAGTACCGAGTGTTATGGCAGGTACCTTTCCTGTGCTTGGCAGAGGACATTCCGTAATGAACGACTGTTAAAATACTGCCATAAATGAACCTGAACTTCCAACTTCCTGATCTACTTCAAGAGTAAACTGTTGAGGAAATTGATTAGGGAACGTTACGTACATACATGCCTGTAAAGGCTTTCTTTTTTCCTCAACTGGTATGCTTCACTGTTGCAGTGTTCCTAATGTTAAGTTGGTGTTAGATGTTTTTTGATAATCATATACTTGGTGACTTGCAATGTGTAGTTTCATTCAGTGCATGTCCAAAGAAACATCCAAGTAATGAGTTGGTTCCTTTGACTCATTTTCTCAGTGTTCCTCAAAACCAAGCAGTTTTTCGCACTCCAGAATTTTCTTGTGGAATACAGCATGCATATACAATTGGGCAAACATTCAAAACAAAGAAAAGAGTTGACACAGGCATACACAGGTATGTCACAGTTAAAGAAAACAAGTCTGGCCACATTTGTAGCAGTCCAAGTTGACCACATCATTCAATTGCGCTCCCCATACCGCACGCATGTGATCAGCAGGTCTACATGCTCACAAAAGGTCCTCATGTCTCATCACTTAGACTCATCTGAAGATCTCTAAAAAGAAAGGCCAGAGAGAGAGAGAGGGTAAAATATTCCTCTTAATAAATTGACAGGGCTGAACAGCCATTAAATTAAAGAAAACAGAGCAGCATAACTAGCCGTTATTAGCTGTCCCCGCATTTCCAGAAAGCTACACTTTGTAGCAGACCTAATGACTGTAGGCTGTTGGCTTTTGTTGATTAATGAGATAAATCTAGGCCATGGGAATGCTGGCTGTTTGTCTTCATCCCACATCAATTTTTTTTCCTTTCCTGCTCTGGCTCAATCTAACCCAATTTCCCTGCAGCTGGGGGTCAGGGGTCAGGCCAGCTTGGCTCCTATCACATTGCTCTATTAATTACCGCGATGAAAAGTTGAAGTTGTGGAGAGTCAGAGGGAAAGAAATAAAGAAGGCAAGAGTAAAGACACAGGCAGAGATGGGAATTGGGGGAGATAAAAAAAAAAGTCCAGATGATCAGGAAAGATGAGGCCGGCTAAACTGCATTTATTGAATTAAGATGGGACATGATTGCAACTGATCATATTTGTGTTGTGGTTAGCCTCACCTGATTGGTTGCAATCTGACTGAGGTTGTTGACATGAATGCCCACTTGAATTTGTGCTGTGCTTTGAAATTGAATAGAGGTACACATGTAGATGTAGTTTCATGAAAGAACTCGGAATCTTGCATTAGATTCGAAAGGGACACATTCCATATTGCGGAATCAAAGAGTGATTCACAAGTAAGTCCTGTCAAAAGTAGATTTGTTCCAAAGTTTTGTAGGGGCTGTGCAAACTAGTTATGAGCAGGTGTGTGTTCTTTTGGACAACCTCAGCAAAGCCCATAAATTTACAAAGTGGCACCTCCTTTTTTTGGGGGGGGGACAAAAATTACCACAGAGTTGACTCTCATGAAGCTGCACACAGTCGGACTGCTTTGACTGTTAGTGTTATTAAGTGAATGTTCAAATTTATCTCGTTTGAGAAACAACAGAACACAAAACCCTGGTTATAACAGGTAAATGTCATGTAGGGGTATAAAATGGAAAAGGAATTTCAAAGCAGCAGTTACTCACCAAATTTCTCTCCCTGAAATCCAAGGTACATGTATCTATAGTGATGCAAACCAAGCGTGGTGTTTTGATTTATGATAATCATGTCACACACCCTCTTTGTATTTCCTGCGCTGACTTGGTCAATTAATCTTTGAACTGCGGTGTTAAAAATTGTTTGGAAACTTGATGTCTTTCCTCCAGCCCATGCTATTTCTTACAGTCTGAGTCAGGTTCGTGTTGAATGGTTCACTTCGCATGTCTTTCTCAAGGGATTTTTGTTGAATGTTTGAAATGTCGGTCACCTGTATTGCTTCTTGTACATGAGCTGTGCAGGGTCTGCAAGTATATACTGTAGGGCCTATATGCATCACCTCATAGGTGACAAAAAACATGAAAAACTGGCCCAAGTACTGTATGTCGTTGACGCTGTGCATCCAATGCTGCGCAGATATAAATTTAAGACCAAAATGGCTACACATACTCGGTGCTGCATGCACACAACATGGTGTGAGCCACTGGTGTTGGCCAAATGGTACATCATTGCTGTTTTTAGTTAACCACTTGCCGCCAGGGATTCCAGTTTCGGACATGTATTCTTTATACGCGTGGCCGGGGTCTCCGAAATGGGACAAAGGGAACTGGGCCTTGTAACAAAAGACCATAATCGTAACAAAAGACCACGCTGCTGGAAACTACCAACATTTTTTCACTCTCAATAGTGGAGATAATCCAGCCTTGTTTTGAAACAGTATACCACAGTTTGGGTCATTTAATGTGAGCGGATTACCACCGGGGACAAAAGCGCTCTACCACCGTAGCGATGAGCCACAGAGCACCACTGCACGCTAATCTGGCTCCTTGTGAAAAGAGGTCAGCAGCAGCAGTAGTGCACCGAAAAAAATTACCTAACACCGCAAAATCTGGGCACTTTTTTACAAGGCAGCTAGCCTGGCTGAAATACTCCAGTGTCAATAGATGTTGTCTGTCAGATTAGAGTAGAACCAGACAGTCCTTCATGTGGGTTATAAGTGTCCAGTAAATGAAGATATGAATTTTTAAAGAATTCTGAAAACAAAAAAAAAGATAATTATGCCATCCCAGCATCATCAACATTCATAAATGTCCACCGACAGGATGTGGTTAATGCTGTTTCTTGTCAACACAACAAGGAGAAAGGTGCACTCTTGTGTATTCTGTCTCTTTTCCCTCCACTCCCAGTCTTGCCCAGTGACTGCCCTTGTATAACTTGAGGCAGACTTATTAGGCTGTCTGATGATTAAGGCATTTACTGTAGACCAATAAACTAGTGAAAAACAAGGGAAGTCAGACCACAGACAGACAGACACTCATCTGTCTATCCACCTGTCCTGGCTAGTCAGTTCAACTCAGCTCAGCAGCCATTCTTCTGTGGATGTCACACCCTTATCCCCTCCCTTCCACAGCAGTCATCATCGCTGGACAGTTGTAGTGCTGATTGTAGCACTGATTGATGGGCTCAGGCCAAGAGGAGGAGAGAGGGTAACAAACTGTGCCAGGGTGGGTGACATCCCCTACTTGGGATCACCCCCAAATATGACACATTGGATGATTTTGCATGTTTGTGGGGGCAACTTGCTGTGCCTGGTAGATTACTAATTGACACGCTGTTATCAACAGTGCCTGGGACTTTTTCTTTACTACCCTATGGGGGGGGAGCATTGTAAAGTTACTCAAGGGAACAAGCCTTGTGGTACAGCAGTATACATTTTCAGTAGCTGCAGCCTGAAGTCAAATAATCTTCCTTGAAAGTGTTCCTTGTGGTATGCATTTTATACAAGGCCCCACAAGTATTAGGCTTAATGACCACAAATAGTGATGCTGTCAAGAATGGTATTTGAAACACCCCCCATGTCACAGAATCAACCATGTTTTGCAAGATTGAGAAAGGGTGGAGCCCATCCACTAAATAATGCACAAGGTTTGCAAGTCGTGATCAGTTGTGTTCCTGTGTACTTGTGGGCTCAGGATTGTTAATGATCAAAATGCCAATGGTGTTGGGGACATTTTCTTTTTTGGC